CTTTTTCCCTTGAGAAACATGAACTTACTTTTTTTTTTTTTTTTTTTTTTTTTTTTATCAAATATCAACCAGAACCTAAACTTAACCACGGTAAACCACCAAAAGCCGGTAATTTGAGATGGTCTACCACAGAGCTTAAGTACTGACTCACACTCACTAAACTAACCGATGTGGGAGACGGGGAGGGGAACAGGGACACTCAAAGAGGCAATCAAGTTTTTACCACTCCACTGCTACAATTTTCTGTTTTTTTATCAAATATCAACCAGAACCTAAACTTAACCCACGATAAATCACCAAAAGCCGGTAACTTGAGATGGTCTACCACAGAGCTTAAGTACTGACTCACACTCACTAAACTAACCGATGTGGGAGACGGGGAGGGGAACCGGGACACTCAAAGAGGCAATCAAGAGAAACATGAACTTACTTGCTCGCATTGGTTTCGCATTTTACTGCACCCTTCATTCTTACCCTCTTTGATGTTTTCCCTTTTAAGAAACAACTTTCCTTATTACCAAAAAAGAAACAACTTTCCTTTGAAAAACCGAAAGCGAACTGAAATGATGTTTGTCTTTTACGGATTCTCGAGACGATGGGAGTTGCATTGCAGAGACCTAGGGACTTTTTAGCGTTTGACTGCTTTTGGGACATTCCTTGTGCTTCAGGCTCAAGCATATTGCATGCCCTACAGATGAATACTAGTGTAGTGTACTACCCTCTCCAGTCCCCCTCACAGAGAGGTACTAATTATTCTGCCTATCTGTTATTGGAAAAGAAAAAGGTGGATGTTTTACCAAGCGAGGCAAAGATTCACTTGCATAATAGTATAATGAAATAGACCAAATTCAGGACTCCTTGTGTAATCTTCTGGTTTTTTAAACGTAAAACACCAGAAAGAAGAGAGAGTTTGAGACACCATAAAGCATAATAATTACTTGTTTTATTTTTTTTCAACATAGATTCAATTCCAGTCCCCTTCATAGTGGAGACAAGAAGAATAGAGAATTATTTGCAGTAAAGTAGGACTAAGTGTGTGTGGGGCAAATTATAGAAAGTTTTCGACAGAATAACTGTACGTTTTGCTCTGATGTACCCATCTTTAGGTTTAGTCAACCGGAAGCCATCTCTATTCACCATTCTGCAAATTTTACAGGCTTATGCTGAGTAGGACACAGAAATGGCAAATAACACAAAGAGAAAGCCAAATTAGGAGCTGTTGGATGAATCCGGATTAGTTTTCTCACCAGTATCCGACAGCAGTTCCTTCTTATCTTGAATTCCGTCATAATTCATTTCAGAATCTTGGGGAACTTGTTGAAATGCCATTGTCAATCTGATGTAACCAACTGCGGTGAGCTCCTACAAGTCAAGGGAAGCAGGACTACCGTGTCATTGACTGAGAAATCCGCAGCCTCATCCTTACTTGGAATTGGATGCTTCTTTTTTGATTATGTATGAAAGGAGCAATCTTGATGATCACATTATTATGTCTCTACTGTTTAAAATATTTTGAAGTGAAGGACTGAAATGGTTGTGCTAAAATTTTTTGAACGTATTACCTCGAAACAAAACCCTTTCCTGCAAACTTAAGTTTACGCTACATTATTGCTTCTTTCCCAAAGATTCTCTGTTTTGCTTAATTTTTCATCATCATGATTCATGAGTTGAGGATTACTTTAGACACTCGAAAATAAAGGTCCAAGCAAAAATAATGTACTACCACTCGTGCGCGTGTACAAACAAGGTATGATTGTCCCTCTAATAATTGTTAGGAAAAACACTAAAAAAAAAAGTGTTGAAGAAACTGAATTCTTCCATGGAATCCGAATAACACTACTTTTATTGGACTGAATAAAAGGACAAGCCAGATGAGAACTTTATCAATCCCTCATTTCGTTGCAGCATCTCCCCCTGTCCCAGAGAGCAAAAACTGGCACATATAGTTCTCGCCTATCTTTTTCTATTAATTTTATCAGCCAATCATCAACTAATATGTAGGAGAGCAACGATAGGATATTGAAGTACTTGTATAATATACAATATGAATATGAATTTCTGTCTATACTGTCCTGGTCAAATGAGTAGCTGTGGAATCATTGTAATTTGTTAGTTGGGAGGCTGATGATCAAATAAAAAAGAATTCTTTTCCATTTTGCTCTCCCCATTAACTGAGACGGATCTGTCCCTCACTCTTTCTGATCAGATACGCTTGGAATTTTATGATGATATCAAGAGAAGGAAGTCATAACACAAAAACTGTTCTACATGATTAATTCGAGACCAAATTAAAGCATATCAATAGCTGTGAATGGATGGGATTCGTCTATTTCTATTCCCTTTTCAGACTTTTGGGGATTCCTCTTTCGGTTTCACCGCCAGTGTTCTATCATAGGTGTCAGTTGGAGCAAGAAATATTTGCTTAAATGGTCATAGCTTTTGGCACTCATTTTACTGATTGACGCTAAAATACTTTTTATAAAGGGAAGGGTCATCTTATTAGTAATGGGTAAAACTGTGTCTCAAAGTTGATATCCATTATTCTTAGCTTGTTAAGGGTGATTCCAATATATTTTTGTGGCAAGGTTTCAGCTTTCAAGACAAAGAATCTCTTTCTTGCTAAAGGCATCGCATTTTAAACTATGCAAAAAAAGCCTTCCAAAAAAGCAAATAAAAGTAGTGTTGAATTCGACAGAACCCTGTATAATGCAGGGTTAAATGCCAAACGTTCAGGATTCCAGCAGCAGTGATTTGATCATTTTAGGGAATGAGCAAAACTCGACCATCAAAGTAAAGTTGGAACCCCGACTTAGATTGCAAACTCACGGAGTTGGCATTCAATTGCCCGACTATGATGCCAGCCGGTGACATCGTTTTTTATAGGTTCGTTAGAAACGAATGAATGAAAAATTCTCCTGCTTTTTTTTCTTCTTCCAAAATTGCTAGAACATCACAGAAAGCTACGCAGCACACGCTCTACCAGGACCTCAGGCTAATTGCAAACAATCATGATTATGACCATAATGATTTGACAGCAACAAAAAGGGCTGAAACAAGTATAGTCGTTATATTATATAGGATGTACTCAAGAAACTGTCTCCTAGCTAGATCATAGGCTTTGAAATTCCTTGACTAAGTTCTGATTGGGCTGATGAAGGTCCCATGTCCTGCGTATGCCTTCCATAAAGTGTTTGAAAGCATATTATTGTTTATCTTGCATTAAGAGTCCTAGTTTTTATTTGTTTGGCCAGATTTGGTTATGAGGCTGTATAATCATGTGGAAAAACTATAAACATCAAAGACTGCATTACTGTTCGTTAAATGAAAAGAAAACCAATGATGAAGTTAAAGAAACTGATTAGTGCAGCACAACATCACAAATTGGTTGCAGTAGTCAACATGAGGAACCAAATTGGTGGCTGCACTGACTATGAGATGAACAAGTGGACATTTTTCTTTTTTGCTCCTTTCATAATCAGTGTACGTATACACTTAACCGCAGTCACTCACTTACTTCTAATATCCAGTAGAACTGTAGAAGAAGGAGAAAACGATAGATGGAATATTGTCGGAGTTCATTATTTTCTTTGTGGTTTACCAATCTTAGTTTTGTTTTTATGGGCTCCATTAGTCTCAGCCAAGTAGTACAACCCATTGGGCATCAAGAACTCTGCACTTCACCAGAAAATTTTGTTGACTAATTTATGTGTAGAATAAATTCAATTTTATTCTTAATTTACGCAATGCATGCCGTGATGAAGTTGGGAAAGCGAAAGATGATTGGGTGTCAATTGTCAAAGAAAGAGAAGTGTTGTAGGAGTGATGTGGAATTCGGTAGTTGATCAAGAAATATCTTGGGTAACATCTGCATCAAATTAATATCACACATAAACGGTGAAAAAACAGCCACAGTGTTGTGATATCTTCATGCAAGTGGCAGTATAGTTGGTATTGTTTCAGGAATCGCCTCTGCAACTTCTGTGCTATTGGACGCAGCAAACTTCTTAATCATTCAAGATTGCAAATGTTTAGGATTCCTCTAGTACTTGCCAGTCCTGCAACTTGATATGGTGATACAGGTCGCTACTCTTCATCCAAGGCAGCATTAATTTATACAATCTGCTGGACAGCTTTATCACTCGAGTCGATAGCCTAATAATTAACAACTTTCGTAGCAAGAAACAAGCTTTCCAAGGCAGAATAATGGCATGGAGTACAAATTATTTTGTCTTCTTTGAATCCAACTGAGTTTAAAATAGGGAGGAGGACAAAGAAAAAAAAAAGACCAAAGGCAATAGAGCTACTTTGTACTGAAGAACTGTTCGAAGTAGTTTCACATGTTTTTCTTTCCTGTAATTTTGATTTGCCTAAGATTTGAACTTTGGCCTAAATTACGTAATCCCAGAAAATATCAAGACGAAGTGAAAAAGAAAAGCGGGGGAAAAAAAAAACAGAGCAGCTACCTACAGTGGCTATATTAAATTAAAAAGCAAGATCTTTTGTTAGTGAAATGAATTCAAAGATTGTTATGCCTTGGCTGATGGTTGATAGGTATATTTTAAACGATTTAGTAAGCAAAGTAAATGGTATGCGTAGAGGAGGATCTAGGCATTCTATACAGCAAGATTCCGCTACAATCTGTGTTCCCAAGAAAACAAAGATCTTAAGCACCTTATGATTAGTTTAATGACTCGCTGAAGTAGAGGGCGAACCCCTTTCGACTGTTCATCATCATCAACCATCAAGGTAACTTTTCAAACCACTAATTGGCTGTGAAATACTTCTAGGCTTGGGTGGTTCTGATTGAAACTAAGGGCTGGGGCGTCTGCCTTACTACTTGCGCCCGCCCAAGCTCAAATGTGATTTCTTGCATGCATGGCCTCGATCTCGATATAAAGTAATTTTGCGTGGAATATTCACATAATATTGAAGTGAAACTATGAAAGCATATTACAGAACCAACGGAAAAGAGACAGTTGACGAACTGTTCTACAACATTATTCGGGGAAATGGAGCAATCATTCATCGCCCTATTTACAGATTGAGATACGATGATTGAAGAGCCAAAAAAAAGACAACAACAACGAGATGCACTATTTATAACTACATTAAAATTCCTGCAGAAAATTACAAAACTAATATATAACTTAAATGTCATAGCCTTGCTGAATGGTGAAGACTCCTCAGTGCTGCCTAATTAATCTTTGAAACCCCATATTAACTTCAGCAGTCAGCATTACACTCACACCTAACCTTTTCTTGTTTATTGAATAAACGCCTTCTGACTTTCTTTTTTTGCTCCTACAAGCTTTTCCTGGTCGTGTGAGTGAAATCAACTTAACCCTCCTACTAATTGATAAAAGCTTTAGCAGCAACATATGACCAAAGCCGTCATCATCATCATTCCATCAGTAGCTGTAATATTGGTACTGTTCGGCTGCTGCTGATCCCAAGTTGTTGTAAAATATTTTTGTTGACCTCCCTACTGCTGACCCTTCATCATCTTCTTCCTGAAATCCCTCAATCTGTATTAAATCAATCAATCGTCGATGAAACTATTGTTAAATTAGAAAATATATATATATATACACAATGGAATTTTGAGATAAAATTGTCACTCATTCGCACAAAGTTACTATCAGTAAATAAAATATGGATTGAAAGTGGGCAAGTCCAACTTGGGATAATACTTTAGTTGTATTATTAACTATGCATTAAAGATCATGCGGAAGAGAATAATATTACCCAAAGATCATCTTCGTCTTCATATCTAGTACTTGTAAACATGGATGCTTTGGGAATCTCTACAGCTTCATCATTACGTGCAAACCTGCCACGTATCCTCGGTCGATTGTCGGCCAGTGTCTTCCGGCATGCATACTGCAATATTCGAGAGCATCACAAGAAGAGCAAGACACCAAATTAAGTTTACCATCCACATTTTCACCGTACCTAATTATTATTAATTAGCATGATGATCAGTGTAACTTTTTAAATGATGCTAACTGTTACGATCTCACTGTTCGAAGCTTTGCGAACTGATAAACCAAGAAAAAGGCACTCTTACCTTAATTGTCTTGTTGAAATTTCTCTGGTTTCTTTTCGCTCTGTACCTGTGAATCCTTTCTTTCCTCTCTTCTGCACTATAGCGTCCCACTTTGAAGTTTGCTTCCTCCAGGAATGACCCGTCTGTAGAAAGTGGGCTCGAAGACAGAGTATTCTTAGATGGGGTATTGTGCACCTTCACAACAAAAGAGGAATTAGTCGTTTATTCTCAAATATAGTATACTAAGTATGATTTTTTTTACACCAGGAAAAAAGAAATTGAAAAAACAGAGCAAATTTTGTTTGCTGCATTCAGTACAAAAAGGTGCAAATAGCACGTTCGAATAATTGTAAGATTACCTGTAAATCTCCGGTGCTGCAAACCCTTCTCATTTGACCAGTAGATAAGTTGTTTTCAGGAGGATTCATGACTTGGGACTGCATATTTGGAGACTCCATTAGGCTATCAAACCTCTGGTGGAAAAAAAAGTTGGGCTTGCCATCAAAGGAGTTACTACTGTAACTCCTCTGCATCAGCTTAACCACATTATCAGCAGTATTGTTCTGAGGCACGAACGGATTGTTAAAGGCAGCAATGGTTTCTAAGGGGACTTGATATTCCTCTGTTTTAATCACCTCCAGGAGAAAGTAATCTGAATCATTTGCATTTGGGAAATTTTGGGCCGTTTGACAAATTGAGAGATTTTCAAGCTGATGACTAGGTGGTGAGGATGAGGAAAGAGCAGATGCAATTTGGTCAAGAGAATAGGTTGTTTCATCGGCAGAGTTGTTTTCTTGAATTCTATTACTATTAGTATCGTTATTATTACGGTTATTAAGGCTGTCTTCAAAGGTTTGGAAGAAATCATGCTGAGGATCGACAGATGAGTCGGAGAAAGGAGAAAAGGGGTCAGAGAAAAAGCTGTTATCAAAGACGAAGAGATCAGAAGCCATTGTTGAGTCGTTGACGCTATGAAAAATCACTCTGGGGAAAGCTCTCTATTTAAAGAGAAGAGGTTTGCAGCCTAAAGGAGGATGGCCCCTTGTGGAAAAGGGAGTCAATACAAGTTGTTCGAAGCGAAGACAAAAGATGGCCAATTAAGGACACTGCGGAGGCTCTGCCTTTCTTTTTCTTTAATCAGAGCTGTTGTCCACAACTGAGGAAGATGACAAGAATCCCATTTCTCTCTCTCTCCTTTCTCTTATAGCTTTCTCTATCACACGCTAACGAAAGAGAGTTGTGAGTGAGTTTCTGAAGTACCACTAGAAAAGCAACTCAATCCCTTCTCTCTTTCTGTGAGGAAGAGGCCAAATGAAAATAGGACTCCCCACCCAGGCCTGGCCTCAAAATGTTCAGAAACAGAACAGCTGAAGAAGACCAGAGCACCGGAGTTTATACAAGGCATTATTAAGAGGAAATCTCCAATTAAATCCCTCAACTTCGTCTTATTTTTGGAATTGAAAAACCAGTTACTTTAATGTCATGCACCCTTTAGGTTCTGTTTGGTTTCTTCATATGCAAAAACTAGTGTTGGTATGACCGTATGGCAGGTTTTCTCTATTACTGTACAATTGTAACGTCAAACAAACTTGTTTTAGCTGTGATATGCGAAATCAGCTTCAACAACTCATTCCATTGTCCATCTTTCTCGAGTAATAGCAGTATCCTCAGCACTTTCCGTGCTAAAAATATGTACTGTTGGAGCTTGAGGAGTTAAATTTGCTGTGTCTTGAGAGAAATTTGAAGCTTTATTCTTGTTCTGTCCAAATTTGAATTGGAAATATGTAGTAATACAGATAAATGTTTAGGTATTGTAGTGATCAGATACACTATGCAGGAGGGGAAAATTTTATGCAAATTTCATTGAACGGAGGAAGAAGTTTATATTCCTCACTCAGAATGCCAATGCTTCCACAGTCAATTCAGTTTGTAATGCAATCGAAGTGTTGCTTTAAGCCTTTTAACTACACAATCCTTGTTCTACTTGTGGATTGATCATTTGATCACGAATTTTGAAAATCATAATAACTACAAAAATGCTCAATTTTATAGCAAAATTGGAAAGGAAAAAGAAAAATATTACTCAAAGAGAAAATAATAAGTATTCTACAATGTAATGAACAATAATGGCCGTAGATGCAACGCGACAAATTTTGCTCATAGTAATTAACCAATCGTTTTGGAAGTATTTTAAAAAAAGGACACTTGATAAAAATACTACAACAGCAACTAAAGTGGCGGAGAGCTGATAATAGTAGGTGATGACGAGTTTATTCAAAGTAATTTAACACGTTGAAAAAATAACAAAGATGACAATGGTTAAAGTTATGAAATACTTACATGTGACGGAAGTTTTACAACACATTAAAACACGTGATTTTGAAATACGAAAACCAGGAGTATTAAAGTTGTGACAGAAGTGCTATAATATAACGTATTGATAATCATGAAAATTCAAAAATGCCTAGGCAAAGTATAGATAGAATTATTTCATCTGTTAAATTAATACAAGTGTCAAAACATGACAAAGATTTAGCCTTGTTATCTCACTATCATTTCAAATTCATCATGTTTCCTTTAAATGGAAAACTAAAAGAAATTAGTTTTGATACTTCACAAGACACTGAATTTATTAAAAGAATAGAAAAAAAATATTAGAGAGGCTAAACATGTTTTTCAACTATCTTTTGATGTTTATGATTAAATACTACTGCAATTTTTTTTTAAATGCTCTAAAACAACCATCAAAAAGGAGTTATGTCTTGATACTAGGTGTTATTGGATTCTCTCATCTCAAAGCTCAATTTAAGTGGTGAGACTTTCTCTGGTACTTCCTAACACCTTTCCCCTTCGCATTGAATTGTACTGAATTCGTTTGGATTGATTTTTTTTGGAAATTTTTGTTAAAAAATATATATATACTATAACGATTTGATATACATGAAGTAAAAAAACGATTAGAAAATATATTCATGAAATGCGAAAAAATTTGTTTGGAAAAAAATTACTTTCCAAACAAGGCCGTATGAGTGTTAAAGGGTTTTCCTAAACTGGATCACATCATCGACCTTTCATTGGATAGAGTTGTTGTAATTGAAATTAAATATTAGTATTGAGCGTTATTGGACTCTCCCATCCTATGGCCCAGCTGATGGAATGAGGTTTTCCTAAGTTGTAGAAAAACTTTTGTAAGATAAAATTTTTTTTTTCCTTTTCATTTTCTTTTTTTTCTTTTTTTTCTCTCTTTCTTTTTTCTTTTCCTTCCTCCCTTCCCGCTTCTTCTCCCTCCCCCTTCCCTCCCATGTTCCCTCTCCCGAGACTTCCATGGCAGCAACTTTCTGATCTGTCTTTTTTTTTTTTTTGCTTTTTTTTCTTTTCCATGGCAGCCACCCCTCCCTCTCCCTTCCCCGCCATCCCTCTTCTCCCTCTCCCCTTCCCCTCTCCTCCCCTTCCCCGCCACCCTCCCTCTCCCTCTTCGCAACGCGATCTGGTCGGGCTCCTCCCCTTCCCCTCCCTTCCCCCACCGCCCCTCCCCTTCCCCTCTCCACCTTTGCGATCTGGTCACGCAACTAGATCGGTCAAAGAGAGAGGGGGAGGGGGAGGATGGCGGGGAAGGCAAAGGCGAAGAGGGGAGGGGGGAGGGAGAAAAAAAAGGAAAAAATTTTCAGAAGGGCGCCAACAGATTGGTCAAAGGGGGAGGGGAGAGGAGGAGAGGGGGTGAGGGAGAGAGAAAAAAAAAGAGGAAGGCCGGAATTGGCGGCCAAAATAGTGACTGGCGCCGGAAGCGGTGGTGGAGGTGGTGGCCGGCGGCGGAGGATATGGTGGGTTGGGTGGGGGAGGAAAAAGAAGAAAGTTGAAGGGAAAGTTTTTTGTGTATTTTTGAAGTGTGTTGGTTAAAAATTTTGATAAATTTTTTGGGGTTCCCGTAACAAAAGTTATTAAAAAACTAGTATTATACAAACTTGGTAAAAAACCAAGCTTCCAAATAACACTTTGCTGCTTCCATGATCTGATTGTATTTAGCCTTCATTAGTGAAATTACCTCTAAAGTATTTAGGCTTAATGTATGGAAAACCAAACGTGGCCTTAGTTAAATTACCTCTAAAGTGTTTAGCCTTAGGGTCCGTTTGTTTCGGGTGAAAATGTTTTCCAGGAAAATATTTTCCTAATTTCCCGTGTTTGGTTGCACAAAAGTTACTGAAAACATTTTCCTATGTAAAATATTTTCACTCATCTTATGGAAAATAACTTCCCTTCCAAACTTACTGAAGTTGTTTTCCGAAATGCATGCATCCCACCTGTAGTATGTTCCAAACTTATTGAAAACATCTTGTAGTATGTTCTTTTTTTTTTTTTAGTGTAAACAGGAGGACTCGAACCCAAGATCTCTTCCTTACACTCCTAATTCCCCCGTACCACCCAACCCAACCCAACCCTCTCCCTAGTATATTCAAAATAAAAAAAAACCTCATCCTGCTCATCCTATGCTAGTAATTAATTATGTATAATAGAGACATTCTTTTCTAGAGAAACTTTCAGCAGTGAGAGTGCAAGATATATGTCACAATAAGCATTGCATGTGATTGATATTTGATACTAAATGGCCAGCAATTTATTTATTGTTTAAGGAGATATTTTTTATTCATATATACATTTCTCTAAGATTTTTTAAAGTTAAACAATGAGATAAATTTTCTTATTTTGCATGGGAAGAAGTATGTAGTTATAATGTGTAGAAAGTAAAGATAGAGATAAAAGTGAAAATATTTCAAAAGTTAAACAAACACCAGAAAAATGAAGTAAGAAAATATTTTCAATAAGCTAACCAAACACCTGAAAATGATGAAAGGGAAATGATTTTCATGAAAAATTACTTCCACGAAAAATATTTTCCCAAGGAAAACATTTTACTTCCAACCAAACAGACCCTTAATGTATGCCATGGAAAACCAAAGGTGGCCTTAGTTGGTAGTTTTCCCAGAAATTGCTAAATTCCAAGACGGTGAAATTATTTCTTTATACATCTCAATGTAAAGTATTTAGCCTTAATGTATGGAAAACCAAACGTGGCCTTAGTTGGTAGTTTCCCGAGAAATTGCCGAGTTATGCGTTACGACTTCAAAAAAATCTCGGTACCGTTGCCACTAAGAAACTCCACGGAAGCTTGACTTGCTTCGATTTGGCAACTATTAGGAGTAACTCCATTTTGTATCCCTAAATTTGTATCACTCTCTCATTTTATACTTTAAATTTTAATTTTAAATACTTTACATTTTAAACTCTTAATTTTGAATATTTTACATCCTAAACTCTCAAGTTTGTCCCATTTGAATCCAATTAATGATTATATTGGCAAAAATTAATTAAATAAAAGGCAATAAAAATTAATGATAATGTACTATTTTGTTTCAACTATGATCTTTTAGCTTTTTTGACCATTTTGAGCACATTATTATTTATTTACTTAGTCTCAATTACTAATATTGTTAGTAAAATTAATTTGATAAATGATTTTGTAAATTAATGATAATGTATTGTTTTATTTTTGTTATAACAGTTTGATACCTTATGATTACTTTCGGTATATTTTCATTAATTTGTTGGGTCTTTCATGTAATTTTACAAAAGCTGTCATTGACAGGACCTAAATAGAATAAATTTAAGAGTTTAAGGTATAAAGTATTCAAAATTAAAAGTTTAGGAGGCTAAGTGTTTAAATTTAAAGTTTAGGATAATGCGAGAGAATACTGCAAGTTTGGGAGTGTAAAGGGATAGTTGTCCAACTATAAACGAGGTGAGGAAGCGTCCTCCTTTTTGACTTCCACTTAGCAGAAACGCGTCTCGGTCAATGAAAAATCCTCTTCATCTACATCTAAGCCAGTAGAAGGGAAGCAAAATCCTAGGGTTTCATTGATCGCTGAGCGTGAGAAGAGAACAGTTCGAAAATGGCATCGCAGCTGTATATGGATAAGATGCAGCTCCGCCAGAACTATCGCAACCTCTGGCACACTGATCTGATGAGGGCAATTCAAGCCGATCCTCCTTGTTCGTAATTTTTTTTCGGTTTCCTCTGTTTTATCTCAATTGATTTATTTATGCATGCGAAATGTATAAATTTAAGCATTAATATTTGATTTTTTTCACGTTTACCTTGCAGATTGCTGCTTCGCTCTTTGGTGGTACGTATACTGATTGGTCTAATTTAACTGTGCTGTTCAATGTTGAGAAGGATCGCGTCAAAATTGTGCCTCGCATTAAATTTTATGTTCTTTTATTATTAATATTTTTTCCTGTGGATGAGCTTATGGTTTTGTTGTTTTGTT